AAGGCCATCGTACAACAAAGCAATAAGAAACCAATGGGCCAGCAAATTTGTCTCTTTGTGCAAGTAAAAAAAAAAAAAAAACACAAAAAACAAATAAAACAAACACTCAACTGAAAGGTAGCCCAAAGAAAAGAGAAATAGGCCCAACATTTCAATTATAGACTGACCAAAACCAGCAGACTAAAAAGAGCACACTAATATCCATACTGACATTTAACTTCGCCATTTTCAGAAATAGCTAGCACCTCTCCTTTATCACTAGAAAACTACTAACTGCTGACGTATCTTTACATCGGGGCGGGGTGGGGGGGAGACTGAAGGGATGGAGGGAAGATGAAAGAGTATATCATCTTCATAACATGGACAAAAGTCTATTTGCATGTTAGAGATACTTTAAAAGCAGTCAAAAAAACGCAGTACAAGACAAGATTCTTATTTTAGGAGGTTATGCTAAATAAAATTAACTTTTTGGAATTTATTTTCCTTTTTTTCAATATTTAAGATTGGTTTTCTACATATTTCTTAAATAAAAAGTAATAACCCCAGATAACACTAATGCATACAACAGAGTATTAAGCTAGCAAAGCAATACTAAACAAATGGAGGAAGAGTTGACAGTGGAATTGCAATGCAAGCAGTTTCCAAAATACATTTTTAATATATCTAAGATACAGCTAATATTGGTAGCCTGGTAATCAGAAGAAAATCGTGCAACATCACGGTAAGTTGTAACTTCGTGGCATTTTTTAGGATGGGAAAATACAAAACAAGTTATTTTGATGGTTACAAGATAAGCTTCCTATTAATTAAAAAAATAAATTATTGGAACAATAAAGGATTACTGAGTTTGGTTGCAAATCATCCACAACTCATTATTTCAACAACAGGCTTTGGTATGAACTAGTGGGTTGTCAAATAAATAAATACACTTTAGCTTTACAGTATCTGCTTGATTGGTTTTGTTGCATGAATGTCTGGTTTGCATTCATTAAACATTCAAATTACTATCCCAGTTACCTGATTACAAGCAGCATTAGAGATTGTATCAAAGTAGCATTCCTAGCTATTCCCCTAAGCTCATGCCAAAACATTTATCTTCACAGCTTAAACATAATTTTATGGGGTTTTCCACCACTACAAGCAAACAATGATTTTAAAGAATTGGTTTTTGTAGTTTGCTTTGCTGTAGTACTAGCTTAATAACTCCTTAGTGGTCTTTATGATAACCTCCAAAAAGCCAAACATAAAAACCTCTTCCCTACTAATTTTGCCATTTTCCCTTTAGTAAACGGATCTTACTGTTTGGGCACCTGCACACTAGCCCTCTGATTAAAGAAACACCATGAGCTACTTGTTTATTTGCCATTGTTTGTACTATCTGTATGGAATCTCAAAAATTAAATTCCTTTCCCACTGATTTTGCCTTTATCTGGAGAAAATGTTGATTCCTCCTCCTCCTCCAACCATTTGCAATGCTGAAGATAACAAGGAACATACAAGGAAACACCCACTGACTGTATGAGCATTACCTAAAGTACTCTTCAACCATGAACAACAGGATTCAATTTATAAAGATTGATTGCCTCTTAGTCATTGTAATTTCCCTTAAAGTTACAATGTTTACTAGACTAAATTGGGAAGGAACAGGAAATTAATATTGGTTTTTATGGATTATGAATTTTGAGTCTTGCCTAATAGATGTTCAACTCTGAAATAATTTCTTACTCTTCTGTAGAAAGCCTGCAGCTCTCAAAACAGCACTGGAGAAACAAGATCTACTCTGAAATTACAAGGTTAAAAGATCCTTTGATACAGTAAGGTCATTCTGGGTAGAACTCAAATAGCCTTCATAAACAAAGCAACCACAACATGTTGTTCCCTACCTACAGTGTTGTAAGTGTCAGTACTGCTGTTTCGATAAGCTTTGTGGCACTAAGGCTGCTGAAATTTTGAAGGGTGAAGAAATCCACAAAGAGAAGCAAGACAGGGGTAATTGCAAGCAAGCACTTCTAACGCTTCCGTTATTTGTTAACAGTATTGTAAATATTTTTTTCAGAGAACTGAAACAAAATTAATTTGTGTCAGACAAGGTTATTCAGAAAGTTTTTATTTAAGAAGCCAGTAGTTCAGACCACCAGTCTCTTTTCCTTATGCCTATGTTATGTGACAATTCAAAAGAATAAACTCAAACTATCAGAAGTATGTTTGTAAACTACAAAATCATTAAAACCCAAGTGAAACTAATGTCCAGGCCTTTAAAAAAAAAAAAAAAAATCCACGTTTAAAATGCAGGGTTTATTGCCAAGTAGCTAAATAAAACATTAACATTATGAAAATCTGTCAGAAAAAACACAAGGCTGAATTAAGCTTAAAAACTTTTATTGCTCAGCTCCACTAGAAATGTGTGGTTCTAAGATCATTCATGAAAACATTTATATTGGTCTTAAATTGCTCATTGTTATTTAATGTAAACAGAAGAAACCAAGTAGATGAAAATCAATAAAACATCAAGATTACTCTGAAAGGTCAAGTTGTTCCAAGGAAAAATGCTTTAGTCTTAGGCTGGTAAGAATTTTTGAAACAAATTTCATGAAGGAATGATCAATGTACACTAAATCCAGTCACTTAAGGCACATTTCAACTTGCCTGCCTGCGGCTCTATAACAAAATCAATTAGAGATTTACGTTTTCCACTTTGGAGACTAAAATTGCTGTACTAGAACAGAAAAAGAAGTAAATCTCAGGAAGTGACTTAATGAACCAGTGAAACCTCTCTCCCACCAAAAGCAGGAAGTTATATAGCTATCTTTTGACTTCTTTCCATCACATACGAGACTCCTTAGGAGAAACTGGAGTCTACCCATCCTTACTTTAAGAATGCCAAAAAAAATTTTCTTTAATTCAGTTACTGCAGTTCAGTAAAAGTCAATCACAGCTCATCAGAATCCAGTCATCATGATTCAGGAATTTCTGTACATCTATCAAGGTTCTAGCCTATTTTAAAGTAGCAGAAATAAAATTTAAGTAAGGCAGGCTGTAGAATAAACACTCTCAGCAGTTGCCTTAATTTTTGTTCCAAATTTCTTCTTTAGAACTACCCAGACTAACTGAACACATCACTGCAGCCGCGGAGTTCCTCCTGTACACACAAAGCAATTTTACATTCCTTTCTACTACATTTTCTATGCTGACAAGGTTTGATGACGAAAAGCATTTTAAAGTGTAACTGCCATTGTGACTTAACCAAGTATTTTACACAAAGCTGGGAGTACACATGCTGAATAACAATCAAACTGGTAAACAGCTAACGTTCATTAACCATTTCTGAAGTAAAATTTTTTAAGATCTGCCTCACATTTTTCATTCTCAGCAGCCATTTCAAACAAAAAATGTGGTCCACTAACTTACACTTTCCTACCATCAACAGTTACAGTTTAGAAAGCTGATGCCAAAAAATGGCTTGTCATAGACCTTATATGGTATTCCCTAAAACTAACAGTATATACATGTATAAGCCACCCACTGACACCAACTTTAATAATTCTAAGAACTGTTGTGCCTAGTGGCATTCCCTAATAGTATTAAGGATTCTTCTTTCCATTTAATATTTGCTCTTTCTTTCAGTCCTACAGTCTACATGGCCAACAAAAAATAACTTGGGGGTTCTAAAAACTTATCACTTGACATCAGATGGTCCAAAAAGGCCCTGCTTGCTATGGGTTTGAAGCCCACTTGGGAATTTTTCTGCTTTTACATTAAATTATACAGATGTCACAGGCAATAAAATTTTAATTTTGACATTTCAATTTCACAGTTTCATCCCGGAAAATTATTTTCACTCAAATTGAATTATAGTACTGTGAATATAAAGTCTATAATACATACCCTACAATAGAAGAGAGAAGCATTCCCTCTTATTAAGCCATGAATACCAGATTTTCCATTTTTGTTTTGATACAGACAAAGATGCAATCTTTCCCTTCTTTAGTTAGGAACGTTTCTGCTGAGTTCAAAACTGCAGAAATTTACAGACCTCTGAATAGCTACTGCCAATAGGTTGGCTTTTCTTATATTATGCTTCACAAACTCTAAATGTAAGAGCTAGAGACACTTATGCATGCAAAAGCTCTCAAAAAATATTCTTACCAATGAGCTTAAATAAAGCCTAATAACAAAATAAGAAGTACTGCTTTTTAATTATATGATCTCCACTGAGCTATACATCTCATGATAAATGAAATAGCAAGCAGCTTTCACATCGGTTTTATGTTAGGCCAGGAAACATAAGAGGTTTTAAGACCATGGCTTAACATCACCTCGAGAATTCCTGAGGAAAAAACCTTTTCCTTTCCTTTTCCACTTCTCAACAGTATCAAACTGCTTCATATTTCTTTGGTCCACCTTCTACAGTAAGCACCCAGAACAGCAGAATTGACTCACCCTGTTTATGTATCATTTCCATGACAAAAAACCTACAGGTCTAAGTTTCCACTTAAATAAGATCTCAATATTGCTAATTTCATTCTCATAAAATTAATTCATTATATGTTCAGTACTACAAAGAGACTGCTGACACCTTCTGGCCACTTGACATTCTCTCCAAAAATCAAGAGCATTTCCAAGAAAACATCTTTCATGTTTTTCCAACCACTCAGGATCACATGAAGACTTAAGCTATGCCTGTATTGCCATATGACAGTTGCTTAAAGCCATTTGGTTTGCCATTCACTCATATTCTCTCACCCATTCTCTGTCTTTCACAGAAGCATCCAAAACAAACAGAGATCATGTACTCTGACTACTACAGTCATATCCAGATTTGGCTTAATTTATCTTCTCCTTTTAACTCTCACTCTAGGTACATCGCATCCAAGTAATCATTGTAACTGAATCAAATTGTACATTCAGATTCAGTACTGAATCTCTAAACCCCATCACATCATGGGTATCAATATATCCACATTTTATTGAATTAAACAGTCAAAACTAGGAGAACCTACCTGCAGATTTTGTTTCTTTTTCTTTGGTTCAGTATCCGATTCCAGCTCTCCCTTTTGGGCGACACGTTGCTTTAGCTTTTTTCTTTTTTCTGCCTTCTTTTCTTTTTTTTCCACATTCATTTTCGGCATTCTAAAATAGAACTATTCTGTAATAAAAACCACCAAACTGCAGTTAAAATCTTTTTTTATATTTAAGGTCAGTCTCATATACAGACAGCGTTATACTATAATTATACTGGTATGACAATTGTTTGTGACTACTTAACTATGAAATGTATGTCTGCACTGAATCTTGATCCATTTTGGAGAATTTTCATCATGCTTCTTTTAGCAATACATTATAGTTAAGCTACTATAAAACTAGAATGTCATTCTCCTGTAGAAAACTCAACACCTCTTGTCCTCTCAGGCCCCATTGTGGAAAATGCTTCACTGACCCTCCTGGTAGTGATCCCCCATAACTGATGCTGTGCATTCTGCAGGTTATAACGCACCACATTGAACTGTTTGATCAATTGCCTACCTCAGCTAACACCAATCAGACCTCTCTCTTCTCAAAAGACATTAAAGCAACTCTCAGTCATCTCATTAATATACATATGTGTGCATGCCCACAAGCAAAAAGTAAGCCTACTTGATTACTAAACAGGTAGTTTTAAACCATCAGTTCTGTTTAAACTGCAAGTTTTCCTGTTTTCATATAGATGAATGTGGAAAAAACATGCTTAAAGAATTATATCTCATGAGTTTTACCTTTCATTTTACACTGACATAAGGGCGAAGGCAAACAGGAGTTGGAGAAAGCCTGGTTCTGAAACCAGGTCTAGTTGTAAGTGTGTATTATTTCTCCAAGAGAAAAATCTGATTTCAGTGGCTTTCAACAGCTGCCCCTACACAGTCACTTTCTGCATAACAGCACAAGCGTAACAGTTGACCCAATCACAAATATTTAGCTTGAAGCACGCTCTGAAAGATAAAACAACCCACAAACCCGCTTTGGTAGGCACCCCTACAGCGGAACCCGCACAACCGATGGGTAGGAGCCACCTGTGCTGCCTGACAGAGCAACAGGGACCCAAGCGCTCGACACCTCCGCCGCAGTGGCACCTCGTTAGCCGTACCTCTGCCAGGCCCAGACCCACCAGGCCCTGGGCGGGCAGGCAGCACCTCAGCCAGCGGGCAGCACTGGGGAGGCACCTACTCGCTGGCTTCCCAACACAAGACCTCTGGGTTTGCTTTTCTTTTTATTGAGGAGCGAGTTAAAACTTCGTCACTAGAAAGCTTATGAATTTGAGTGGTATGTTCTCAAGAGCAGCCACCAGAGCGTCTTTCAGGGGAAAAGCAACGTTACTGTCCCGTCTCCAGCACTACCCACCAGCCCCTCCGCAGCGCAGGCCCGGCACCGAGCTCCCACCCTCCGCGGGGGTCGGGGCAGGCGGCTGGGGGACGAGAGAGGGAAGCTGCGCCGGGGGAGGGGAAGCAAGCCCCTCAGTCACCGCCGCCGCGCCACCCCGACTCTCCCGCAGCCCCCAGCCGGGCAAGGAGCGCCCCGGGGCTCCCGCCGCCCCCCGAGGCTGCTGCCGGGCGCCCAACGGCGGCCCCGTGGGGCGGGAGCACAGAGGACGCGACCGCCGCTCACCCCCTGCCCGCACGCACCTCTCAGACCTTCCGCCTCTGCACATTTAACTGAGCCCCACGCTTGGCGCCGGAGCCCGCCCCCTCCCTCTCACTGGCTACAAGGAGAGAACGGAGGCGTTTGGTTGGTCCTCGGGATGCCAATCAGGCGGGCGACCAATAGGAAGTCAAGCTCGGACTTCATCGCCCACCTGGTACACGCGTGCTGAGGAGTGCTCGGCCGGCTTTTGGAGGCGCGCTTGACGTCACCGTTGTGCGCCGAGAGCCGCCACGGAAGACGACGTCCCCGCTTCCCGCGTAGGGGCGGGGCCACAGAACGTGCCCCGCCTCCCGTTGCCTGGGTGATCCCCGCCAGGCTCGGAACCGTCCCCAGGGCCTGACAGGGACCCTCCCAGCTTCTGACTGGGACTCTCCACGTTCTGACTGGGATCCACCCGCACCCTGACTGGGATCCACCCACACCCTGACAGGGATCCACCCACACCCTGACAGGGATTCCATCAGGTTCTCACTGGGATCCTCCTGCGCCCTGACAGGGATTCCATCAGGTTCTCACTGGGATCCTCCTGCACCCTGACAGGGACCCCCCCAGCTTCTGACTGGGACTCTCCATGTTCTGACTGGGATCTTCCTGCACCCTGACAGGGATCCACCCACACCCTGACAGGGATCCCATCAGTTTCTGACTGGGATCCTCCTGCACCCTGACTGGGATCCCACCAGGTTGTGACAGGGACCCCCCAGATTCTGACTGGGACTCCCCAGGTTCTGACAGGGATCACGCTGACAGGGACCCCCCATGGCCTGGCAGCACCCACCCCTGCTCTGTCCACGAAGGACACCGGGCGTAAGGCCAGCCCCGGTGCTCCCCACACAGGCAGGATGCTACCGGCCACGGCAGGCTGACATGTTGCCCTGTGGGTGCCATGCCAGCTGCTAACGCAGTGAGATGCGGCTCTCTGGAGAATGATGGTGATTCCTTTCAACCAGCAGATCCTAAAGGCTCCGTGTCTGAGACAGTGTTATCTGCTGTCCTGATCGGGGTGAGGGAATGCGCTGGCAAGAGGCAAATGCTGCAGTTTGAAGGGACGAGAAAACCATCTCCTAGCACGAGGTTTCCAGGGAACAAATTGGTTTCCGTGTTTTCATTTTCTATAAATACCATGTGCACAAACATTTCCATTTCCCTTGGTAATTTAAGGGCAGGAATATTTACCACAAACACACACATAGATGGAGCATTTTTTTGGTGACAACCTGAAACAGGGGTTTTTGTTTCCATTTGCTTTGATCCCAGTAGCAGCTGAGCTGCTGGCTGTGGTAGCAGATGCTGGTGGCAACGACCCCCTGTACCGCTATACGCACCACGGGCAGAGGTAAACCTTCACACCTCTGCTTCCTTCTCCTGCCCAAAGCAGGGTCACACCTTCTGCCATCGCTCTCCTTCCACCTCCTCCCCACACTGTGGGGTGCCAATCCCGTCGCCCACCCATCCCTGCTGGGCTGGGCAGAGCCTCTCGGCTCTGGTCCGTGTCCTCACGCCAGTCAGCACTTGCTGTTGCTCTCCACTGGAAAACCCTTCCCAGACCACCAGTGGGGCGCACAGCATCATTCGGGGACATGTGGCCGGTTATGTATTATACAGAAAGATTATAAAAGTCCTAGTACTGTAGCAATGTGCTAGGGCTGAGTTATGGCGTTAGAGCACACAGGATAATCAGTAGGTGGTGGCATCTAAAATTAGAGTTGTAATTTAAGCTTTTCTTTCAATGTGGATAGGGAAAGCATGTTTTTCCAATGTTTAGACTTCCTAAAATAATGATTGTTTTATTACATATCCTATTGTGACATCCTGTGGTTAAACACAGTATTACAGATACTGTCAAATCACAATTTTGATCACGATTGCATAAGGTTAGACTATATGGAATCAGCAGCAGTAACTCATACCTACATTACATATTCAGTTTGGCCAACTACAGCCTTCCATATAGCTTTGATCTTCCCCCAGAACTTCTCCTGGATGAGAAGAAATCACATTGGGCCAAACATGAATATGGGATAGCATGGGTATTTTGTTCCGCATTGGCCAGAAATCACATTCTCTCTGCCCTTTCTGATGAAGAGCCTGCATCTCAATATAGCAATTGTTTACATGCTATCCCTGTGAAGGACCGTAAATCCACATTTCCCCTTTAGGCAGCATTTGTACTCTACCTCTTCAAAGAGAAACAAGAGGCACACAACAGTCTGCACAACTGCAGTACACCTCAAGGTTATATAAAGCATAGGCATTACCTGCACTTATGCTCACATATCTTACAGTATTATCAAAGATTATTTTTCCCAGGTCAAGGAACACAACATTCTCTTCTATGCAAACTGCTCATCCTCCCACCTCAGCAGAACAGCATTGGGCACTCATAGCTGCAGGTGATTCAAGGGACTGCAATTACCCTTCAGTTAGTCCTAAGCCAACACTCCAGCCCACCAGCCCCAGTGTGCAGAGGAACAGCTCCAATGACACATGAAATTGAGGTCTTGACCCCCTGACATCATCAGTAAGCCTTGGCATTTTTCTCACAATTAGCTGGATGAGAGGCCTACTTAGATCCCAGCTGGGGAATTAGCATTGTTCATTAACAGCACATTTCCATTTCATCAACCTACAGTATTTCAAGCCTCAAGCTAAGCAGCTGGATATTCATGCAGTTTTAAAGAGCCAAGATAGCTGATCAGGATAATAGATGGAGCGTATCTGTTATGTCTTCACTTGTTTACGCTTTTGAGGAAGACAGCAAGAACAACCTCCCTAGACAATGCTCTATTTTGGCCTCATTCTCATTACATGAGACACAAACAGTTGATGCTACTTTCTCTGGCTTCCTTTTCCCCTCCTCCCAACTGCAAAAAATAACCATGCAAATCCAGGTTTCAATGTAAGGGGCAATAAATTATGAAGAATTATACTGTGCATGCCTCTGTGAGCACTAGCCTTCAGTGAATTGCTTAGGAAGGGCCTAGAAAAAAAAGGTATGGCTTTATAAATCAAGTACTTCCAATGACATTCAGAAACCAAGAGGCAGCTTATATAAAACTCAATTCATGTTGATGTATGTTGTTTGTCAAGCAGAATGCTGCACTGTGTGCCAGCTCACTTCCAACAGGATTGAGACATGTAACAGTAGCTTGTATTTCAGACTTTCATCTTAGGAGACTCATAGTTCAGACTTCGCATGACCTAAGCAAAGCCAGCTGTGTTTCATAGTAATTTTACTCTTCCTACCTCCATGCCCTAGTTTCCTCCACCAAGTATTTTTCAAAGTATTAAAAGTTTTATTCCAAGTACAGGAACAGATAAAGTTGGCTTCAAAAGGGTGACAGTTTATTGAATGCATACAACATTATGATACAAAAATAAGTTAATTGCATAGAAAATTTTAACAAGGTATAGACAAGATTAACTTTAAAGTAGACAAAAGGTTTGATCCAGATGTGAAGAGCCTCTACTATCTGCATCTGAAAGACATAAGAATGCACTGTAAGAGTTACACAACTAAAACTTTCAGTCACAAGTAGATACAACATAGCAGGGAAGGCCTTGGGCCATTTATGTTAATTTAGATGCTTGCTATGCTTTCCTCAGCATTCTGAGGACACACCATTTTTCCAGAACTTGGCCAAGACTCACACTGAGCAGGTGGGAGACCAACCTGCTGTTACAACAACTTGATGTCCTAATGCTTGTGTCTATATAGCTATTTTAATCACTACAGTACGGAGAAGTAAAGATTTACTTGTGCTGTCAGAACCCCTCTGCAGCATTCCCAACACCAATTAAAGGTCAACTACAAACTCTAGAGCAGTTAGGTATGACAGTGGCACTCCTACACTGTGTTGACACAAGACTATTTTTAAACAATGTTTGTCTTTTCTCCTTCTGCAGCTTATACCTGTTGTGCTGAAGACTCCCATTAGATGGCACTCCAATTGCTCCCGTTGACTTGAAGGCAGTTTGAGAGGCTCTCATCAGGGCTGCATATCTACAAAGAAATACAACCAGGCTCAGTACCTCTTATGCATACTGCCAGTAGTTTCACTCTTCCATCCGGTTTAATTATCTGCATCTGCCACACAAGTCTCACAATCCTATTGTACAGAACAATGAAGGTACATCTGCCTGCAAGAGACAGATTTTTATTAAAACTGCATTTAAACTTGGCTTGGCAGGGTATTGATTGTTCTTGGTTACTTCAAGGCACTGGGCAGAACTTCAGGATTCTAGTATTTAGATCCAGACCCCAAAGGGTACTTGAGTTGGCCAGTGCCAATTCTTAATTAGGTGAGGCTGACACAGGTAAGCTTGAAAGAATTTTAGGAAAGCATTTGACAAGCTTTTATCTTGGCTCACAGACCTTCAGAAATTAAGCCCAAGACACAAAGAGGAAATATTGGCTATTTTATTGACATGACCAGTAGTTTACACAATTCCCTATTTGTCTGAGCTCCCCACCAACCCCCAATACTAGCTCTGAAATTGCAGCTTGAGCTCAAAGTATCACAGATAGATCTTACCCTGCCTTGGAGGTGGGGTGGCTGCTCCCTTTACAGTCATGATCCAGAGGATGCCGATGTTTTATGCAGAAGTTGCCACCGCACTGTTCACAAACTACCTTCATCATCTCTTTCCTTTTGCAGCCTGGCTTTAAGCACTTGTTTGTGAAGATCTAAATAACAGAGGACATGAAGTTGGCAATGCTTGCTTTCTGTGATCAGCTTCCCAAGCAATGACAAAGCTGAAGCACAAATGCTCAAGTGCCCTTAGAATTAAGATGAAACAGAGCAAGCTTCTACACATTCTGTCATCAGGAGACCTAACTTCACAAGCAGTAGGCAGGCAGTTTAGACTTCCTTACCCTCTGCTTCTGCTGTGCTGGATTGTATTTGCAGTCCTGATCCATGTGGGCTCCAACCACAATATCTGGTATTTCCCCCTTCTGTACTGGGATAGGCACATTACAGAGTGGACACACTGGAACCTGCACATTCTAAGAACATACAACACCAATTAGAAGTCTAACTCAATTGTTTTTCTGTCCTTCTCCTTCTCTTACCCAAGTGTGATAGCAGTGTATTCTCAAGTGGTTTATGTTCTACTCATTTACTAGTGTTTTTAAATATATACTTCACAAAGGTAACTGCAAATCATTATCCAAATAGGACTCAGACATGCTTTGCCAAATCAATTTGTAGCAACATATTTGGTAAGCTGACGTTAACTATGCTTCTAGGCTTTCAGGAATTACAGCCTTTGAACACTTCAAAGCCCAGAGATCAAAGTTAGGCCCAACTTATTCTATTTATTTCTTCTGTAGGTTCACGTTTGCTGCCCTTCAACTTAAAGGACTGGGACAGCAGAAAGTTTTAGGCCACAATATATTACTTAAAATATAAAGCACTCCTCTCTGGGAAGATGTGGTCTAAGTGAAAGAAACTAGAATCTAGCAGTCCTGACCTCTGAAATGTTATGTTTCTATATATTTGAAATTCAGCTGTATCATTAACTTACATCTTGTGGTTCTCCCATCTGTTTCTATTGAAACCACAGGTGAAGTTTCAGAGCTGCCTTTACCCATGACTTAGCAATTCTGCACTGTGAATTACTGACTCACATATAGGAACTTACTTTCTTGTAGGCAGAGCTACACTTGTGGTCATCATAACGGATGTGATCTTTACAGAAGACTTCCCCACACGCATCACATTTCAGAGGAAGGAAGTCTGGGAGAATAATAAAAAAAAGAAATAACAGATTCTCACAGAGCAGAGCTAAGAGCTGTAAGAGTACTCACAAAAGACTACAAATAAATTCTAAAGCAAGTAATTTTTGCCTAGTCATAATCCAACTACCTCTAGAGAAAGTACATCATTTTTCACAAACATTAAAACCAAAAAACTCAGAGTGATAAGTTTTCCCTCTTTTTATCCACAGCGTTAGACTAACACAAGCCATAAATACCCCGGCAGCTTGAGTGCAGGCGCTTTAGTGAGGCACCAGCCAAGAGCTAGGAGTTGAGTACAAATCCAAAGCCCAGACTCGGAAGTCTTTTTATTCTTTAAAAAGCATTTAAATCATTTAAAAAGCAGTTTAACAACGCACGAAACCAAAACACACCGGGCTCAACTATTACTCTTTTACTAGACCTACGTGGGGAGGGACTACAGAAGCAGCACTGGTGCCTGCTACTAACCACAGCACGCTGTACAGACTCGGGGTACAGGATTTGGACCCCCCCAGTACACAAACCACCCATCCCTTCCGCATGCCACCCGCACGGCTGCTGCCCGGGGTCGGGAGAAGCCAGCCCCCCCCCCCCCGCCAAGGAGAGCCGGTCGCCGGTCACGGCTCCCTTGGGGCAGCGCAGGAGCCCTCCACCGCGCCCCGAGGCCGCTCCTCACCCAGCTGCTTGCAGGCGCGCTCCGAGCAGTGCTCGCCCAGCCCCGGGAGCTCCATGCCGACCCTCGCCCCGAGGACACGGCGACGGTGACGACGACGACGCCTTTATGCGCCGCCCGCGGCCCCGGCCCGCGCCCACGTGCTGAGTCACGCTCCCGAGCCCCCCCCGGCCACCGCGGATGACGT